AATAATAATAATAATAATAAAACTCAAAATAGCCACTGGGGGATGCAATACTTGTTAAAATCTTCCTGAACTACTCAGTAAAAATTGTGACTAGAATTTTTATCTTGATGTTTTTATTTCCTTTCTAAAGTGTTCCTGTCAATATTCAGTTCTTATGACTCATTGCTTTTAGGTGAACTCATCTACAGGTCAGGCCATATTGCCTTTTTGATGTTTAAAATACAGTTGCTACCACCACTACTGTTCTCTGCCCCCAGCTATAAAATAAATAAACATTAAAAACATATAATTACCCTAGGTAATAATTACAAAAGATTTCAGATTTCAGTGAATCCTCTATGCTGGTTAGGATATTCTTCCCCTGTGAAAAATGTTCCTTTAAATTAGTGGTTCTCAACCTTGGCTGCACATTAGAATCACCTGGGAATCTTTTTAAAATCCTGATTTCTGGGCCTCATCCTCCGGAAATTCTGTTTCTTTGTTACTAATGTTTTGGCCTCACCCCATAACAAAGAAACAGAATTTCCGGAGGATGAGGCCCAGAAATCAGGATTTTAAAAAGATTCCCAGGTGATTCTAATGTGCAGCCAAGGTTGAGAACCGTGGCTTTAATACTAGTAGATCATTCTGTTAAACGTCTATTTTTCTTCAGTGATTTTGAACACTAAGATTATTTTTCAAAGCAAGTGGCTTGTTCTAATATACTGTCATTTGTTACTCACATCTTTCTATTTTTTTTTTTAATCCTTACCCAAGGATATTTTTCCATTGATTTTTAGATGATTGGAAGAGAGAAGGAAAGAGAGAGAAATATCGATGTGAGAGAAACATAACAATTGGTTGCCTCCTGTACGTACCCTGATCAGGGCCCTGACTAGGGAGGAGCCTGCAACTGAGAATTGAACCCAGGACCCTTTGGTCCACAAGTGGACGTTCCACCCACTGAGCCAAACCGGCTAGGGCTATTGCTCACTTCTGAGCAACCAAAAAGATACACAAGAGTGTCATTTCTTGAAACATGAATCACATTTTATTAAGATCTCATAAAGCACACATACTGGTTCTGGTCAGTCTGAAGAAAATAGAACAGCTTCCAAAAATATTTAATACTCTTTGGGAGCCATTTAACTTTTGGAGATACCTGGTTCATTCAATGAGAACGTGTTGGAATATTCTTTTTCTTAAGCTCCCCATTTGTTAATGAGGAACTAGTACTTTAACATGTCCATCATAGAATAAGCATAACGTGGTAAATAAAATTCCTGCGTCTAAGTGTGTTATATTCTAAGAATACAAGATGACAGATAATTGACTTTCATGATTTGTTAGATTTTTCATATTTATGCTTGAGCCTAAACTGCAGTCTTTTCTTACCCTTCTTCTCTTTGACAATATTCTAGACTTGGCTTAGCACCACTCATCAGCTCATTTTCCCAATTTTGATGACGCACCGTCATATATTTCAGACACTTGAGAGTTTCTAGGAATTGGGATAAAGGGAAACAAAATGTCCTCCTCAAGGAGCTTCAATGATAGTGGAGGGAACACAGAAGTAAAAACAGAAACCAACTTCACACTTTTTCTCACTTTGCTGAGACACTGTCTCTGCCTCTGTTATATCTACTTCATCTCAGATCCTGATCTATGAGGATCCTATTTAACTATGACCCCAAATTCCCTTAGCTTACTCTGATAGCTCTTCTGGAAGAGCTTGGGCTCCTTCCCCATACATATTGGTCTGTGTGTTTGCATATCATTCTTTAATCCCTTTAGGAATGAATAACGGAGGTCTATCTTCCTTACCTCCATGGAGCCTCTGGTCGCATATCATCTTCCCAACCAAGGCTTTCCTGACTACTACAATGAAAATCACAACCGTGTCCCTTCCACAGCCCTGCTTTATTTTCCCCTTTTTCCATAGCACTTATTCATTTCTATCATATCATATTTTATCTATTATATTGACTATCACATGCCTCACTCTGCTAGTTCCATAAAGGAAGTCATCTTTATATGTTTGGTGCACTGGTATATCCAAAGCACCTAAAACAGAGCTGGAAAATACTGGCCGTCAAAAACATTTTTTAAAAGAGAGAATGTGAAAATTACATTAGTTGATGACTGGAGTGTTTGAGCACAAGAAAAGTTTTTGTATTCTATATTGACTGCCTTATTATATATACAGGGAGGGCCAAAGGTAGGTTTACAGTGGTGAGCATGCAAAGTACAGAGTTTATTCTTTTATAATTACTTATTATTGTATTTTTTCCATGCAAACAACTGTAAACCTACTTTTGCCCCACCCTGCATTAGTACGAACTGTATGACATTGAAATTCTATTACCCTTTACCTACAAAATGGTCATTTCATTTGGTTCAGCCTAATACCTGAAAAGGCTATGAAACATGCAGAAGGATAGAGTTAGAGAAAATGTCCCAGATTTCAGGCAGGGTGAGCCATTAATGGCCACTATTTAAAATACGGTAAGTTTCAAATTCAATTTATGGCACCAATTATTAGAAGCATGGCTCCAAAAGCTACTAAAGCTACTGACTTTTTTAAGGCCATGAGACTATAATTCATTTAAGAATCTGAAAATCTTCTAGAATTGTTTCTTGAATTCCTTGAAAATTTTAATAATAGGCCTCTGAATCTCATTTTTTAAAAAA